GGAGCTGTGGGCCGCTGTAATTCTGTGTCTGTGTGATTCTCTGTGCGTCACTGTGATTCTCTGTAGCTGCTCACGCGTCTCTCCAGGCTAGGAGCAGCAGTTGACTCTGTGATCTCACTTTCCTGAGTTCAGTGTGTTCAGATTGTTTTCTTGTGAGGATGGGGTTTGATGACTTCCACAGTTTTAAATCAAACCGGAAGCTAGAAGCCTTCATTACTGCGTTGTGACATTGTTGCTCAGTGCCACTGAGTCAGTTCTGACTCACTGATAGGGACCTTGTCTGTATGGGGTTTCCTAGGAATAGCTGGTGGGTTTGAACTGCCGACCTTGTGGTTCACAGTCCAGTGCTGATCCTGCAGCGGCTGCCCCATGAGTAGTCCGTGCTGCGGCGTGTGAACGGTCTTCATTTTCATACTACTTTCTTTCTAGTTTTCATTCATGCTGATTGCGTTTTTACATTTTAAAGTTTTGACACCTCTGATTTACAACTAATGACCTTTTCTTTTCTGGCTTTAAACAATTGATCTTCCCTTTCCCAGGCATGATGGTCTGTGGAAACGTTCACTCCTGTGCCTGTATGCTGGAACTTGAAGGCGACAAGAATGTGAAATTTGTATGTTGTTGCTGTTGATGTTAGGGGTCTTCAAGGTGGTTCTGACTCACCATGACCTTGTACATGACAGGTAGAAACCATGCCTGGTCCTGCGCCATCCTCAGAACTGCCATGCTTAAGCCCATTGCAGCAGCCAGTGTGTCATTCCAGTTCCTCGGGGGGTTCCGTCTTCTTCACTGACTTTCCAGTTTACCAAACAGGATGTCCTTCTTCAGGGACTGGTCCCTCCGAACAACAGGCTCAAACAATGAGAGACCCAAGTTTCACCATCCTCACTTCTAAGGACAGCTCTCACTGTATTTGTTCAAAGACAGATTGGTTTGTTCTTCTGCCAGTCCATGGCCTACCTCTGACTGATGATAGTGAGCTTGTCCATCATTTCTTCCCGAGTTATACATAGTTTGATTCCTGTATATTCCACCTCGTGAGACCCATGTCAACTTTTAGGGTTTTGAAAACGGAGGTTTGCAGTGTGACCTCCAACATCATTTCAGTCACCAAGGCCATATTTTCCAACTACGGATCCTTCCTCTTTGTTTCCAACTTTTGTATTCCAATCGCCAGTAAGGATCAATGCATCTTAATTGCACGTTTGGTGACTGACTATCAGAATGAAGAAGTTGATAGAATTCTTCTATTTCATCCTCACGGGCTTTAGTGCTTGGTTACAGTAATAGTGGTAATAACTGATCTTCCTTGTGTTGGTGGTAATGACTGTGTACCGTCGAGTCAGTTCTGACTCAGCTACCCTGTAGGGGGTTCTGAGGCTGCAGCTCTTTACTGGAGCAGAAAACCTCATCTCTCTCCCACAGAGTCGAACTGGCGGTTTGCAGCCAGCGTGGAGCCCACCTCACCAGCAGGGTTTTTCATCTTCCTTGTTGGCATATGGATATCATCCTATTACAGATACCCTTGTATTTCAACATAGATCTTGACATTTTCAACATAGATCTTGAAATGCTCTTTGTGAGGATGAATGTGATGCGTTTCCTCTTCAGTTTGTCATTCGCCACATAGCAAACGATGTGAGTGATTCAAAATGACCAATAAGAGCCCATTTCTAGGATATAGGTTTGTACGTGTTCCATTTAGTTTTTGACAACTTCCAGTTTTCCTTCATTCATAGCGTAGTGGTTACAAATCGGGCTGCTAACCTGAAGGTTGGCAGTTAGAAACCACCAGCTGTTCCGCAGGAGAAAGATGAAGCTTTCTGCTCCTGTAAAGATTTACAGCCTTGGAAATCCTGTACAGGGTCGCTATGAGTCGGAACCAACTCCATGGTACTTTACAACAACAACAACAACATACTTTGTACAGTCCAGGGTCCAGTTATTAGTGGGTGTTTGTAGGTGTTCTTACATTGAGTTGTCTTTCATCAATAAATGAAAGCCCCCATCCATGTCTTTATGGTCAACTCTTATTTTTTTAATTAAATGATTTATTTTGAGGTAATTTTAGATGCACACACAATTGTGAGAAACAATGTAGGAATTCTTTCTACCTGCTTCCAAATCTCCCCCAGTGGTAACATCTCACAACCCATCACCACCACCCACTTCATCATGTCCATTCTGACATCCTGTAAAACTATACTATGACATCACACCCAGAACGTTGATGTGAATACAGTGGAGAGACAGAACATTGCTCACCACTCAAACCAAACCCTGCCAGTGAGTCGACTCCGAGTCGATTCCGGCTCATAACAACCTCCTATAGGACAGACTCGAAGTAGTCCTTGAGGTTCTCTCAGCTCCGCTTTGAGGAGGCAGCTCGTCCTCAGTCACAGTTTGAGTGCCTTCCAACCTGAGGGGTTCATTTCTGGACCCTCGATCTGACAGTCTTCAGTTACTGTTCCTAAGGATTTCAGTGGCAGCCATTCCGAAGCGGTTTGGCTCTCCTTCTGCCTAGTCTGGATGCTTCACTGAAACCTATCCACCGCGATGACCCTCCTGATGTTTAGAATGCCCTTGGCTTCGCTTCCAGCGTCACAGCAATGCCTAAGCCACCACAGTATGACGAACGGTGGAACGTGTATGACTGTTTGCAAGATCCTAGTAGTCTGCTTAGAAATTTTATAATGGGAAGTATGATCTTTTTTTTCCCCCTTACATTGCCAGATTTCACTACCTAATGTTTCCCAAATGATTTTTTTTTGTTCCCTATAGATAAATATGATTGTATTACTTACACTATTTGTTGTTAAGGGCTGTCCAGTCGGTTGAGACTCATAGCAACTCTGTATAGAGTTTCTGAGGAGCGGCTGGTGAACTTGAACCGCTGACCTTGTAGTTCAAACGAACCTTGCAGTCCAGCGCATTAACCCGCAGCGCCACCCCAGGACTCCACTTAAACTCTGGGTGGTTATGTGCTATGGTCTCGGTTCCGACTCATACATAGCCACCTTGTACAGGGTTTCTGAGGTTGTAAATGTTTACAGGAGCACAAAGCCACATCTTTGTTCCGGGGAAGTGCTGGTAGTTTTCAACTGCTGAGATTAGTAGCCCAACTTGTAACCACCACACTTCCAGAGCTCCTTTTTGAAGTACTTGGATATATTTAAGTATACTGTTCACACTCAGAGATCTTTATGCTCTATGCTCATCCGGACATTTGTTTTGTTCATGGCTGCATCTGCTTTGCCAGCATGAAGTAAGTGTACTCCATGTAACTGTGATTTTAATCAGTTTTAAAAACAAATGAGGTTATCCACAGTTGGAGTCTGAAGGGAAGAAGTCTTAACTGAGACTCCAGGGCGTTGCCAGGAGACGTAGCTCCTGGCTATGGGAGTTCAATAGGGTATTTGCTTTGTGTCCTGGCCCTAGCATCGGGCAGGACTTGAGTGTGTATAGTTCCTGCTGGCAAAGCAGATACAGCAGTGAACAGCTGGAATGTCCACCAAACTACACACATATAACAGAAACAAACGGGATTGTAAGGAATTTAGTCTCCAAACAGGAAATTACCTGGTTTCTTACCTGGCTCAGCAGTGCTCCACGTGGACATCCTTCAGCATGTGATTAACTGAGTTTTCGTACTTTACTCAGCTATGTAGTAGTGAAATCATACCAGGGGGGCTACAAAACAGTCATGGAAAAACTACATTTTAATTCCGTTTTACCATAAAGTTTTTTTTAAGGCCTCTTATACCTGCTTAGGAGAATCCTAAGACAAAAATAGACTTCTGGTGTGGCTCTGTAGGATCAACCCTGGACTGCAAGCCATGAGATCAGCAGTTCAAACCCACCACTTGCTCCTTGGAAACCCTATACAGGGTCGGTATGAGTCAGAACCAACTTCACAGCTCTTAACAACAACAAGATATAAATGAGCTAGTATCTTCAAAACTTTCTGCCAAAACTTTAACACGTCATCATTTCTGAATACGCGCCTCCTGTTTTCCTTAGTGTTTAATGAACCTTAGGGCTTCCTGTTGGTTTAAAATACCTGAAACACCTGACCCCCTGCACTGGAGAAGACTGAGGTGGGGTTTTTGTTTTTGTTTGTTTTCGTCCATGTGTTTTAGACTTTTCATGGTTAACATGGGTGAAGGTTCCGTTTTACATTCAATAATCCAGACACATATTTTTTCCTCTCCTAGACTGCAATGCCCTCAATGTAACATGGCTTCACCCACTTCCTCCCTGAATTTCCTGTTTCCTTTCCTCCTTTGCCTCATCCTTCTGGAGTTTATTCTTGGGCCAGTGTTGCAAATGGTCCAGGACTCTAAGGAGTGCATGCCTCCATAGTGTTCAGAAGTAGCTCTTCCCGGACCAGGGAGTCTCTCGTGGGTCGGGGTTCAGGGAGTTGTGTTGTGTGCTTTCCAGGACGTGACAGCATCTTGGGGTGAAGAGGGTGGTGTGTAAATTTGTTTCCTCAGGTTCATTGGAAACTTAACAGCTGAACTGTCTGTATCTTAGCTGACTTACAAAATGAGTTTCTTAGAGTCAGATTTCTAGATGATGAGTCGTTTTCCATTTCCACACTGTTTTTGCATTATGACTTAGTGACTTTGATTGCAGCTCTCAGTTTGTGTAGTGATTCCATTATGGAAAGTGCAGCATTACTTCATATGACCCTTCCAGCTATAGTCTTTGTAACTTATACCAAAGGACTGGGCAGTGGTGGTTGTTGTTAAGTATCATCGAGTCAGTATGGATTCATTGCAGCCGACCTTGCAGTCCAGTGCTTTATCCTATAGCTCCAAATTAAACCTAGAAGACTGAGAACATAGGGAACCAGAGGTATCAATTTATAATAAAGTCAACTACAAAACAAACTGAAGGATTAGTGTAGATACAAAACTTCCAAATGGCAAGGAAGTCAAGTAGATTTCAAGATGAGAGACTGTTTTCAAACAGGGAAAAAAAATTATAAGTTATAGGACTATCTCAAAGAAAATTAATGAGCCTGCTCATCAGAATGAGGAAAATCAGGAAGATTTACGAAACATTAATACAACAGAAATGAAAACACACAAACAAAATTTTCAGTGTCGAAAATTACATGGAAAAAACCAGAAGCACCACACACACACACACACACACACAAATAACCCACAAAGTGACAGCAATGAGTTCCCCCTTATGGACAATTACACTGAATGTAAATGCGTTAAACAGTTCCCCCTTATGGACAATTACACTGAATGTAAATGAAGTAAATTCACTTCCGACTTAGGGACAATTACACTGAATGTAAATGCATTAAACAGTTCCGACTTATGGACAATTACACTGAATGTAAATG